AAACAATATTCAAACAGAGAAAAGAACCCCAAAGTCTTTGCCATTTGAGGGAGCTGACAAACTTTTCAGTTTTTACTGAAATATTTTAGCAAGCAGACTTTGGCTCAATTTGTGTCACAATCAGATCCTGAATCAGAAAGTGATTTCATTGATCTGCTCTACTCTTCAGTCTTAATGCCTCCATTGATTAAGCAACTGAGATTATGTGGGAGGAATCTCATAAAATAAAAATGGATGTTCTTTTGAAGTGTAATTAAAAAATGCTGTTGAAGAATTTTTGTATGTCAAAGACATTTTAAGACTTTCCCTACTAATGTGAAGGATTTTCAGCTTTACTTACTCCTCCCATGCTCACCAGGGTGGATGGAACATGGTCCCCCATGAATGGCTTTGAAATTAATGGGGTCACCTGGGATCAAACAGCACTAGTTCTTGAGAGGTCAATGGGCACCTCATAAGGAACTTGGCGTTCCCTGGGATTCCACGTAAGGACCTGGGCACTTAAAAAGTGATCCCTTGGGAAAGCTACGCCTAAGCACGTACCATGGCAACAACCAGGGTTTCAGAGCACCGCAGCACTGGGTTCACATCCCAAGTACTCTGTTTAGTTCATTATTTATCCTGGCTGATTATATCATTTGTAAAATGAGGATAAAATTATGTAGAATAATTTATTTGATGTAGTTATAGTGAAGAATAAAAAGAGCTGACATCTTTAAAAGGCTTAGCAGACCGACTACCGATACATAAAAGTTGTTTGATCATTATCTGCTCCATTTCCCTGAATGAGAGGTAAGGAGGCTGGGGTGGGGGGATGAGAAAAATAAGGGTTTTCCTTCAAACAAATTAAAGGTAGAGTGAGTGCTACTGGCTTTTCTGCAACTCAAATGAGAAACTTGTTCTAAAGGTGCCCAGGGAGACCTAGGAGGTACCAAAACACAGCCCTCAGAGAAAATGTTACTGATTGGTGGTAAGGGGGGAACAGCACAAACGTCAGACAGATTGACAGGTTTTAATGCCCACTCTTCTACGTTCTAACTGCATGCTTTTGGCTAAGCTATTTAACCTCTCTGCTCTCTGTTAACTGGACGTAAAGTAGTGATAATGATACCTGTGTCATAGAGGAGCAATAGGCCCCTGTCTGCTTGGCTAACCCACTTCTTTCATTCTCTGACACTGGAGTCTCCTCTCTTAAGGAAGGGCCCTTGTAGCCATGCTCATTCCTCATCAGTATATTCCCTTGCTTGTCATAAAGGAAGAGTCCAGGGGTCACCTGACTTAGGAAAACCCACTGGCTAGGCTGACACAACCAGCCTCTTTCTCCTGGAGGAGGACTAAATGACGTGAAAAAAAGTGCTTAACATAGTGCAGTGCCCAAGGTGTCATGAGGGGTTGGTAGTAAGTAAAAACCACAGTAAAGGCCACTTCCTGGCATCCACTCTCCAACACACACCCAACACACACGATTCCAGTCCACAGTAACTGTGATGTGAAAAGCTGGCACAAACCTCATGGGCAGTGCAGGGTGCAGTTTCCCCTGGTTTTGCACTGACAGCTCAAATCGAGACACATTCCCATCTTACATCCCCTTCATGCCAGGGATATTTCCGAATGAAGCATGTATTAAACAGTTTTCTCTAGAAAAGCCTGACAATTCTCATGCTGGATATTTTAATGTCATGATCGAGTATAGATAGATTCAGATCTAGGACTGCTTATTTTTAACAAGGCCAGCTAGGAAACAAGAAGTGAAATACCAGTTCTAACCATGCCTCTCTCTCACGGCCCCTCAGAGTCCACAGCATTAGCCTCAGGAACGACTGTTTCCTTATCCTGTCCTCCACTGTCTCAGCTCATTAAGGGAAGCAAAAGGTACTCAGCAAGGATCACATGTCATTTTTCTCATTAACTAGAACAGGCACCATGGTGGGAAAAAGATAGGAGGTTTCAGCTCCTGTGATCTTAAGTCTCCAAGAAAGGAAATGATCTCCTAAATAAACAATAAACACACAAAGAAATCCTTTCCTATTTTAGTATTAATCTCAACTATCAATATGTTGAAGACAGAATTTTTACCCATCTATGCACTTTTCATCTTTCATAGTGTTTATTTTCTTTTCTCTTTTAACTCCTTACATAAGCAATATTTCCCTGTCTCTCTTTGCTACACAAACCCGAAGGTCATTTTGATTTATATTTTTTATAATTTTCATCCTAATTGAATTTTCTCAGCTGAATGTACAGATGAGATTTTGTTTTTCATGACAGAAAATTCATTTATATTCATTTATTCATAATTCATATTCTTTTCTCTCTGTACCGACCCCCCTCCCCACTCCCTAAACAGAAAGTTTCATAGTTTGGAATCAGCCAACAGTGTGATTAAAGCACTTCAGACATTCCCTAAAGTTTTCACACAAGCAGAAAAAATTCTGCATTGTTTTGTGGATACCAATACGGACTTAGGGCAAAATACTATTCTTCTCATGCTATGTACTGTACAGTAGCTACTTAAGCACAGCATGGTAACTCCTACAAACAAATGCTTTCCTTTAATTTATGTGTGCATGTGTGTGTGAATATATATGTACAAAAGTATGTGACATATACATTTGTAATTTGTACCCAGCAAAGTATAATAGCATAAACCAGGTTTCTTTTCAAAAGGAGCAACCAGTTCAAATGCACAGCTGGGTATGGCAGAAAACACAATTAGACAAATTGGATTTAAGAGTTACATAAGGTCTCAACTGAGCCAGTGAATGAGAAGCTGAATAAAACGTTGTGATTGCTGCTCTGGTGTCTCGAAAGAACAGACTATATGGCTATGTGTGTTTTGGGCAAAGAAAAGGCAATTACTGGGAGTTATGGAATATAGTTGGCATTCCATGAAAGTTAGACTATGCAGCGTTTCAGAGAGGGCTGTGCTGGGAATAAAATGTCCACGGCTTAAAGGGGGAGTCTGTTAGAGAGGTGCCTAAAAGAAAAGAGTTGGCAAAGACTATTTTGAAGTTATATTTTTTGGAAAAAAAGGAAGTAGAAAAATTTACATAATATGTAACTTTTCAATAGGTTTATGAAAACTCTTAAAGACTATTAAGTGCAAGGGAATACATTATATATTATTTCCCCTCTAGAAGTGAACCTTCTCAGTTAAAGCAGGTATATTGTGGAGAAGATAACAAGTCTATAGTTTCAAAATTTTTCACTAAGAATACTCAAACCAGTGACTAAATATTGAAGATAAGCACCCTTATAGGATTAGAAAGCTGAAACTAAATTACCACTTTTCACTATTTGCAAATAATCTTATTTGCAAATTTGTCTCAAGGCAACTGAATGAAAAGCAGATATTCTTGTCTCTCAACAATCTCCCTGAAATAAATGGCACAAAAAAGCAATTGTCTGGGAAAGTCCTATTTTCTTAAAGAAAATATCTTGTATTAATTGACAAAACTACCTACGAGTCCCCATGACACCAGTGCGCATGACGTTCGGGGCTTGGCTTTCAGTGTGCAATTTAAAAGCATAGCCATGAAATCCTTGCCAAAAATAATAACTTCTTGTGTGTTGGTGCTGTCTAACCACTAAAATCTCCTATTAGCAATCTCACATTTAGTTTGTTAAACCTTACAAAAAATGTTTTGAACATCTCTAATTTGCAAAGTATGTGCTAGAGACAGTGGCAAGGACAAAGGCAGACAGCATGCTCTGCCTTAATTCATGACTCAGTGAGAGAGACAGGAGGATTTGTTGGAAACTTCGCCACATACTTGATGGTGGTGCATCGGGATTTTTCTTTTATTTTTATGATAAAGCCAATTATTAAGAGTGTATTTTGCTTGTGTTATCATTTGAAGTGTATTTTGCTAGTGTTATTTAAAAGGGAAATTCTTTTATGTCACAGGTATGTCTGTACAACCATTATGGTGTTAACTGTTATAATAAAGTATTCCATAAGCTATTAAGCTGATGATCAAATAACTGTTTCTGCATTATTATGGCAAAAAGTCCTGATTATAATCAATGATTATTATTAATGAAGGCCCTTAATGGCAAGCAAAAAAAAATTCCATGTAATCTAATGGAGACATATAACTACCAAAGTTTCTCATGTTTGACAAAACTTTAAATTCTTGTCAACAGTTGTCTACAGAGTTATCAAATTGCAAATGTCCTATCTGGAGAAGTAACTCCCTTCCCTCCCACTTATTTATAGATGAGAAAGTTTTCTGAAGTTGGATGTTTGCTAAGGGCATAGCGATTGAGATAATCTAAGAGGAATCAAGGTTGGTAGAAGAACAAGTGTGATTGTTCTGTGGCTAGCTTCTGCTTCTCAGTCTACGCCTCTTTTAGAGAGAAAGAAGGTGGTCTCACACATCCTGAAAAGTCAGGAATGCCAGGGAGGGCAAGGATTCCGTATAACTTTCCCCAGGTTGAATGAAAGCTCTTTATCCTTGAGCAGGTATCCTAATACACCCCTGACACAGAGAAGGATATTTGCTGCAGTTTGGTGAGTGTTTATTAAATTAAGGTACTTTATGTACTTTTTCAGGCCAGCAACCACCATCAGTTCTACCTTGGTACTAATGATAGTCCACAGAGAAATGTCTTAAATAAAATAGATTTCATTTGGTCTGATCATTAATAATTTTTTGATATTATGTTTTAATTCAGAATTCATTAGGTCAAAATACAAACAAAGACAATGAAAGAAATAGTCATTTGGAATTGCCCACTTATAATAAAAAATTGTAGTTTATACTTTGGTATTCTCCCAATTTTAGTTGCTACGAAGATGAGTAATGTCAGAAATAGTCATTACTTTCTATTGTGTTAGAACCAAAGAAATGTTAGTTTTGAACTGATAAAACTTTTCTCTGAACCCGAATATTTATAGACAGAATTTCTGGTGTGTAAAACCAAATTCAATGTTGATCTTGTTGGAAGGACTAGACATAAGAACAAAAACACAGACAAACAAGAAAAGAGAGACTTACTGTATCACGTTGCCTGTTATCTTTCCCTGATATTATCAAGAAGTAGTTCCATGTCAATAGTAACAACAAAACCAGTGGTATCATGTAGAGCTCAAAGTTCCAGACAACAAAGAGAAAGAGCTGAAGGAGAGAGAAGAGAGGGAAAAAAGATGAGACAATTCTAAATTTCATTAAATGGACTCTCTTATCCATACTCCACTTCAAAAAACACAAAACAAAATGCTTCAAAACAAAAAGATTTATCTTGATAACAAAACTTTGAAACTTGTTAGGCATTTTTATAAAAGTACAGGTGAACCCTGGAAAGTTACAGGCAAGAGTTTTATTTTGTTTAATTTCTGTGAAGAAAAAACTGATATCATTGCATTGTCAATGAGGCAATTTTAATTTTTCTCCTTTAGTGAAATGAGTGTGAGGTGGAACAAAATATAGTTTTAAAAAAGATGCAGCAAAATGAGCTTCATTACATTCTTAGAAATAGCCAGTTTACCTGCCTTATTAATAAAGAATGAATCACTACTTAATATTAGAGACTTTTTAAAAGATCTCACTTGGATGACACAATGTAACAAGCATAATAGGCAGATGAAAATACCAGCTCTATACAAGAGAGCCTCAAACATTTCACATTACAAATAAAAGCACTGCTACCAACACATGTAAAAAGGTTTGGCTTAACATTGAGCACCAACCATAGAAATCAAAAAGGTATTTCCAAAAAAATTTGCCAAAGGAAATTTTAAAATGTCTATTTCTATTATCTGTTTAAACATACCTACTTCTCTAAGTACAGAAATGAGTTTTTTAATTGTGAGACAAATATTAGATTAAGAAATCACCTAGGTGGGCAGAATGAGCCATTCTAAGAGCATCTGTATTGTGAATAACTAGCTTTGGATATAAAGTGTGACTCTTCCACACCCCCCATCAAACTCATAATCCTGGACAAATCATTGAGATTTTCTGGGTCTGTGGCAGCTAAAGTTAAGATCATGTTAAGTCAGATGATAGTTAAAAGACAGATTCTACTCCTGATGCTCACTATCACTAGTCCTATAAACTTGGCACCACACATATTTTCCCTTCAGTTTCTTCCTCTGTAAAATGGGGGCAATATGAGTATCTACCCAAGAGGTTATAATAATTAAATAGCTGAAACATTTGAAGGATTTAAACACTGCTTAGCATCCAGTAAATGCTCAAAACATATCATGGTGTAAACAATATCAATACCTTACAAAACTCAGAAAGTTAATTATTGACTAAGATCCTCAGGTAATGCATATTTTAATAGTGAAAACTAGAAAGTCATCTGCCTGCTAGGATTTAACTGAACCATAGTGTGACTGGGAATTTGAGCCAGATGGTAACACAAACACCTTGCATTTGATAGACCAGATGAGTTAGGAGCTTTACCCTAAGTTGCTAGTGCTGGGAACAGCAGCCTGGGCCATTTGCAGCCTTTTTGATAAACCTCAGCCAAGCCTACAGCCTATTCAAATGGCAGAGAAAATAAAACTGCACAAAGTACTTCGGAGCCTTAGAAAGTCATTCTGCCTCACTGTTTTAATTTCTAAACAGAGGTCTATAGATCAAATCACTTCTAACATACTTTCTCTAATATTTAAAGTGATATTATGATATTACTGTACCATTAGGACTTTTTAAAATGTGATGTTAAATTTTGAAAATGGCATATTTTACTGAATTACTTGATGTTTATAACCCAGATAGACACCAGAAGCATAAGTAATGGTTAAGGGACCCAAGAAACGAATTATGGACAGAATGACATGGTAACTACAGACTCAGGTTCCCGGGGGAACAAATGTCAATATGCCTGTGCATCACACATGGGCTGCATCTCTTCTCTCACCAGAAAGGTGAAAACATTTCCAGAAAAGAAAATATTTCCCTTAAATTTTAAAAATTTATACATAAATTATAACTGATGACTATGATTATTATATTAAAATGTATTTTCAAAAGATAATTCTTTACTTAGAACACAAATTTAGGCATATTTGTCAGACATCAACACACATAGAGGGAAAATTATTTCTGGCAAGAATCCACACTAATTCTTTACACATTTATTGGTGAAATTTAAGTAATCACTAGAACAGAAGTTCTTATGGATAGGGACTTTTTCTTTTTGTTCACAGTTCTATTCCCAGAACCTAGAATAATACTTTAGGCACAATGGAGGTTCAATAAATATATATTTGCAGAATTAATGAATAAATGGACACTGGGTTTCCAAGTCATTTAACATAAGTCTTCTTAATTGTTTGTATTAGTAAGTGTACTAGAGGCACTGTACGAAACGCTTCAGGAAAACGCATACAGAATTGCAGCCTGGGATGCCACTAGCAAACTTCTCCCCGAGGTGCAAAATGCAGAAGTGCCTTGAGCTTCTAGGTAGATTCTCTTCCCATCCTTTCAGTGCAGTCACGAACAGTCTTGTGCATTATGGTCTGAACACTGTCTTTCCTATTTGTTGTTTTGCTAAAGACGTTCATCTGACTCATATGTGTTCTGACCCCATATAATTCCATTGCTAAATATACCAATTGTAATGATTTTAACCTGTTGAGCATGTGTATATTCCCCCTGGTAATATCTACTCATTGGTGTTAGATTCCTGTTGTTGCTCATAATAAACTTTCTTGTAGTGTCCACATACTGGTGTTAGTTGTAGGCTAGATGTTGCATAGAATAAACTTTCTAGATGACAACCCTGTAAGTAATCAAGACATCTGTCATGCTTTTTCTTCTCTAGGTTCAACATCACTAGTTGCTTCAAGCACCAGTTACAAAGTGGTTTCTGGTATTCTACATGACAGACATCTTCCTCTCACCACATACAAATCAATACATCAGTAGTTTTCTTAAAGTGCAACATTCAGAACTGACACCACTTCTCATGAATATCTATGGTTATTGATATGCCCTTACAGCATGAGTACCAGAACTCAGGATGGAGAAAAATATAAAAGAGAGACAAAGGAAGAAATTGCATTAGTTTTGTGGATTCTGGTAGTACAAAAATAGTCCTTTTTCCTACTGTGTGTTCTTTAAGAATCTAATTTTTGGGTAACTATGCAAGGAACCTGTGATGTTGGAAATATTTTTTTAAAAAGAGTATGTTTCTGAAAACTATAGACATTGAAGAAAGAAATTGAACAAGATACAAATAAATGAAAGAATATATTTTACTCATGGATTTCAAAGATTAATGTTGTTAAAATGTTCTTATTACATAAATTAATATACAGATTCAATGCAACCCCTATTGAAACACCAATAACATTCTTCTCAGAATTAGAACTACTAATCCTAAAATTCATATGGAACCAAAAAAGACACCAAAAAGCCAAAGAAATCTTGAGAAAGAACAGAGTGGGAGATATCAGGCAACCTGACATCAAACCATACTAAAAAACTACAATAACCAAAACAATATGGTGCTGGGGAAAAAAACCAGATACATAGATCAATGGAACAGAACAGTGAGCCCAGAAATAAATTCCCACTTACTTGGTCAATTAATCTATGACTCAGGAGGCAAAGAAACACAATGAAGTAAAGACAGTCTTTTCATTAAGTAATGGTGGGAAAACTGGACAGACATATGCAAAAAAATGAAATTGGACCACTTTCCTACCCCATAAACAAAAATATACTGTAAATGAATTAAAGATTTAAAAGTTAGGCCTAAAACTACGGAACTCCTTGAAAAAAAATAAGCAGTAAACTCTGACACTAGCAATATTTTTTGGATATATCACCTCAAACAAGGAAAACAAATGAGAATACATCAAACTAAAAAGTTTTCCACTGAAGGAAACCATCAACAAAAGGAGAGACAACCTACTAAATGGGAGAACACATTCACCAATGATACATCTGATACATGGTTAATATCCAAAATATATTTTAAAAACTCATAAAACACCCAACAAACAAACAAACAAAGCTATTAATAAAAACAGGCAGAGGGCCTGAATAGGCATGTCTTCAAAGAGGTAACATAGATGGCCAACAGAAATATAAAAGATGCTCAACATCAGTATCATAATGGAAATGCAAAGGCAAATCATGATGAGATATCACCTCATACCAGTCAAATGGCCATCATCAATAAATCAACAAACAACAGTGTTGGTAAAGAAGTAGAGACGAGGGAATCCTTGCACACTGTTGGTAAGATTGTACATTAGTGCAGCTACTATGGGATACAATATAGAAATTCTCCAAAATTAAAAATTCTGGGTACATATTGAAAAAAAAAACAAATAAACACACTAATGTGAAAGGATATGTGTACTCGACCTATGTTCATTGCATCATTAATAGTAATAGCCAAGATACAGAAGCAAGCTGAATGTTCATCCATAGATGAATGGAAAAAAGATGTGAGATACACACACACACACACACACACACACACACACACACTAGAATAATATTCAGCAATAAAAAATAATGAAATCTAGTCATCAGTGACAACATGGATGGACCTAGAGGGTATTATGCTAAGTAAAATAAAGTCAGACAAAGACAAATACAGTATGATCTCACTTATGTGTGGAGTTTAAAAAAGCAAAATAAATAAATAAACAAAAGAGAAGTAGACCCATAGATGTAGAGAATAAGCTTATGGTTGTAAAGGGGATGTGAAAAAGGGATGGGAACAAAAAATAATGAATCAATACATAAATAAAGAAATAATCAGTTCCATCCATGCTCTCACGAATGGTAGGAGGTCCTTCTTCCTTTCTGTAGTGTAGTATTCCATTGTGTAAGTGTACTATGGTTTTTTGATCCACTCATTTACTGATGGGCACTTACGCTGTTTCCAGCACTTGGCTATTGTAAATTGTGCTGCTATGAACATTGGGATGTGTAGGTTCTTTTGAATTGGTGTTTCAGGGTTCTTAGGATATAATCCCAGGAATGGAACTGCTGGGTCAAAAGGCAGTTAGTTCCATTTTTAGTTTTCTGAGGAAATTCCATACTGCTTTCTATAGTGGCTGCACCAGTCTGCATTCCCACCAACAGCGCACTTGGGTTCCCTTTTCTCCACAACCTCTCCAGTGCTTGTTATATGTTGATTT